CTTTATCAAAGCGGTTATTGGTAGGTTTCAGATGCCCTCGAATACGGAGTTCATTGGTTCAATGAGGTTTGTTGTCATGTGACCCAATCGTTGGCCATTGTCGTATGCCCTGGTCCACTTCTCTAGTTAAATATTGTCGATACATCTTAATGTATCTATGTTTGTTAATCTGATTTCATAATGGTAGTATTTGAAGGAAGGCTCTGTTAGTGCATACCATGTGTTCACAACCTTATTCCACAACATATTGTCCTTGATCTACTACAAGAAATTTTGCGTGATGTGCCTAATGCAATAAACATGTGCTGATGGGTGCCAACTGTTATCAAGATTCTTATATGCACTCTCGATTAATGGATGTCTTTCAGAAATCGAACATAAGTTAGGTTGGGGAGACACGTGTAATCGGAGATTTTTTAAGGGGAAAACTCCAACCCCCAGCAGTCTCCACTTCTCAATTATATCAATTATATCTTCTTACATGCAATTGTCTTGTCTCATTTATATCTTCTTATCACCTACCATGCATTAGTCTTGTCCTCATTTATATCTTCTTATCACCTTCTATGTATTAGTCTTGTCTTCCTTTATATCTTCTTATCTCCTTCCATGCATTAGTCATGTTCCCTTTATGACTACCAAGATCTTATTATAGTCTTCTTATAGCATGCATTTCTTTTGTCTCCTTTATGCATGCTCTACACGAATTTAATATTTTTTCTAACACTATTCTCTGACTATTTTGTTACACTATTTTTTCTCTTACTATTACTCTTTTCTCTTACTATGTGGTAAAGACAAGTCTTACAAGATAATAGTCTTACTAGATAATATGTTACTTTAAATATGTTGCTTTAAATAGATTCACATGCCTACAATAATGTGTTGCTTTAAATAGTCTCACACTATTTTCTCTTAGAGCATGATTATCGATCTTTTGTTTGAGTTGCTACACAGTTACCAAAGATATTGTGTTAGAAATGTTTGGATAATTGAGAAAAAGTATCATCTTCTAGTTCGTGATCGTTGGCTAGTCTGTGAACGTTTTTTTACTGCCAACTGGATTTTCATTGCTACATTTCTACATTGTTTCAATTAATTTTTTATATAATATAAATGTTGGGTATATTGTGAGATTTGGTGGGATCCATTTTAGTGTTTTTAATGAGTTGTATGGATATTTGAAAAATGTAGTTGGGTTATTTAGAAAATGTAAAAGTTTAATATAATATAAAAAATTGTGTGTGCCCCATTTAAAGAACCAAAGTGGGGATGATGGGTGTGGCTTCTCTTACACTATTTTCTTACATTATTCTTCTTATCATAGATTCACATGCCTACAATAATATGGTAAAGACAAGCCTTGCATGCATTGCACGAAATTGTTGCTTGATCATATGTCTTACAAGTCTTACATTATTTCTTACAAGTCTTGCATGCTTACAAGATACTCGTTTATCATAGTCTTATAAGACAAGTATTGCATGCTTTAAAGAGTTTCACATGCATTGCATTGGTAAGAGATGCCTTACACAAGACTCTTGTAAGAGATGCCTTACATAATTGATTCCTCATGTGAAAATAGTAGAAGGCGCCATTTCATTTGGCTCACCTTCTTTTAAGTTAACACTCATGCGCCATATGGTATGACGTCTATGTGTATTAAACACAACCCATGCGCCATATGGAAAGGCGCCTATGTGTTTTAGCCATGCAAACCATAATATTCAAACCTAACACGTGAAGAGAGGAATTCCACTATAAATATATGTTACTCACAACTTTCAACTTTCAGGAAAGAAAACTATCAACTTTCAGCAACCAAACTTTTCTCCTCATAACCTACCTTCATTTCAAGCCACAAAAATGTCTCTACTTACTATGGGCGACGATCACAGAGGAACAATTGAGAATATTGCAACATTTGTAAGTTTATTTATTTTATCTCCCCTTACTTATTCGTTTTGTCTTTATAACTAAGTTTCTTTATATCTTTTGTCAGGATGTAAAGAGATTTCGTTATCATGTACATGACTATATACCACACGACCCGATCATAAAACCACACCTTGAATTATGCGGTTTCAGTCATTTGATAAACATCACTTTGTACTCAATTGACGCCAAATTTATTCTAGAATGATGGAGACCCGATACCTACACATTTCACCTTCCATTCGGTGAATGCACCGTTACATTGGAAGACGTGTATATGTTGATGGGTCTACGCATCAATGGTAAGGCCGTTAACAGGAAAGTTGAGGTTTATAACCAAATTTGCGAAGATTTGTTGGCTGCCCCTCTTTGTGAAGAGACAACTCAACCATACTTGCAAGTCAACCCAGGGGTCAATATATAAATTTAAAATACCTTAGAGAATATTATGCACGTATCACATTAGAGGACGAATCCACCGAGTATGAAAAAATAATTAAAACTCGATGTTATATTATGATTTTATTTGGACATTTTTTATTTCCTGAAAGTACTGTAAATACTGTAAATATTATGTATTTGTTGTTGTTACACAACATTCATAAAGTAGGCATTTATAGTTGGGGTTCAACTGTTTTGGCCCATCTATATAGTGCCTTGTGTAAAAATGCAAAAATAAAATACTTGTACGTTTTATGGTTGCAACTTTCTACATCAAGCATGGGTTTGGTCAAGAATGTCGACACTCGCTCCGGTCAACCCGAATCCATACACATACCCCTACGCAAATAAGTAGGTTTATTTTAAAATATCAAACAAGTATATTTTGATAAAAGGTTTATTTGTAACTTATTTGTAACTTATTTATTTATCTCACTTTTTTAAGGTGGTCAGTTCTGGCAATGACTTACCAACGATGTCCCAGAAACGCAATAATCGTATACCGCAATCTTTTAGACCACATTGGACTGAATGATGTAAATTATTCTTACACTACTATAAATTTGCCTATTAAATTAACACACGACATTTTTACTCATTAAGTATTTTGATTATGCAGTTTGTCTGGAGGCCGTATCTAGGTCTCGACCATCAGCCTAACCCCGATGACGTTGAAGTCTGGGCAGTAAAAACACCAATCATTCGGTTCACTACAGTTGAGATGCACCAAAGTGATCGAGTGAAATTGTAGTTCGACATGCAACAAGATATTCCAGTCGATCTGACGTGTTTAGGAGACTGACATCAATTGAGAGTGGATGCACAATGGGGTTACGATGATTGGAGAGACTTTGCTTAATAGATCTGTCGACATTGGAAGAATCAACGTCGCCACATCTTAAACGAGCCTGTTGTGGAAGGGGCTAGACCAAGTTATCAATATATAATTTGGTTTAGGTCGGTTACAATATAATAATTTATGTCTGAGCCGAAATATTTGATAGATTCGCGCCAACGTGCTTCGTTCTCATACACATAACAACAAACACTTGTCCAACAAGCAAACCCGCACCACACCCAACAATAATATCTACCCACCCGATCAAACTTCCAAACCCGCAATCCTTTCATGCCACCCACCCGATCACAATAACAAGAGCATGACCCTTACCGCCAACATCCACACACCAACACCACATCTGCATATAGTCCCGATGACTCATTCGACTCCACCCCAGCCCACCATAGCCCCCACAAATGAACACACATACATTCTACCACCAAAACACCCAACCATATTTGACTACCTTACACCACAACAACCATTGCATCGTTTCCAAAATGATTCAATGTACCAATTCGACCAACGATATCGTTCGCATCTAACTCAACCACTGCGTCCCAACTTCGAAAACATGTGCATGAGACTGAATTACGGAAGCGTCGTTGGCAATAGCCCCCCCGACTATTGGAGACAGATGATTGAAAATTTGTCAAATACGACAAGACCCTTGTAACAAATACCTTTTCCGCAGGCCAATACGCAAAGACCACAAACGCCTCAACAAAATCGTGGTAGACCTCGGAGGCATGCTAATGCGCCAGGATGTGGAACCGGGGGACGTTTTGATCGGGCCGGACATTGATTTTTTTTTCCATTTTTTTGTAAACTTTAATGTATTTTAATAATATTTTTAATTGTTTGTTATTTGTTTTTATTTTTTCCTCAATTTTTAATTCATTTTTCTAATAAAACAAAAAATAAAAAATAAAAATAATTTAGGGAGGATGCGCCATTTCATATGGCACATGCACTTTAAATTAGGGCAAGATGGTTTAGATAGGGTGTAGGCGCTACTTGATTTGGCTATACCTATATGTATGTTCCAAATCAAATGACGCATATGCTTTAAAATAATGCATATACTTTATTTCATATGACGTCTGCATGATTTGTTGTTTCAAAAGTATGTTATTTTGCAAAATAATTTAAAAACATGTTATTTTAGTATTTAAATTAAATAAATAGGTTATTCTAACAAAAAATCTAAAATTGTTTTCAAACTATTGAAGTATCTATTATTTATATTTATGATTATTATCTATTTGGAAGATTTGACTCGACATCTTTAGTAGTCTTCTCTTCCAACTAGTATATTTTTCCAACCACAAAATTGGAACCAAAATGTTGCTTAAGGATTTAATTTTAGAAAAAAGTTGACAACCACGCTTTGATTTGATATGGCTCCTATATTTATTTATTTTAGTTTTTAAAATATAACATACATATCCGTCTAGTCTTTAGTTGGATAAGTGGTGAATTTAATTCAGATAATAAAATGTAGTTAATTTATATAATTAAATTAACAATAATTTTAATTATAAATTGAATTTATTATTTACTCAATCAAATTAACTACATTTTTTTTATATAACTAATCAGATATCGTGCTGAGTGTAAGAAAAAAATAAGACTGTAGATGAATTCAACCTTAAAAACACATTAGTGTTAAATTCTCTTGAGATTCTGCTTGACTTTTGATGAAACCAAAAAAGAAAAAGACATTTAAGCATCCATTAATTGAAAAGTGAAACATTACAAAGTGTGGTATTGGAATATGAGTTTATGTAGGCCAATTTCTATACCAACCAGCCCATGCAGAAACCAATCCACTAATACCAAGAGAAAGAGTGTGATTACATAAAGGATTTGGTTCAATTTCAGCCAATCCTATGATCAAATCTGCAACATTAGCAGCCACAGCCATCAGCCTCATTATTCTATCACTTTTTATTTTTTGAATCTCTTTCTCATTTTCTTCTGATTTTTCTTTTCCCTCTGAGCTTTTAAGCTTTCTTTCAGCCTTCCACCCTTCTTTCAAAAAAATGAAATCAGTTATAATGAAGAAAACATAACCAAAAGACTCACCAAAAGCTGATATGAAACTCATCTTCTTTGCTAACTTTGCATCCAAAGTTCCAATTCTTGACAGCCAAAGAAAATGGTCAAAAAAGAAATACACCATTTCTCCTGAATTAGAAAGCACTGCTAGTAGCCTTAAAACGGGAGTAGAACCAGGGTTTCTTCTAAGAGTGTTGAATCCTGTGAGAAATCTTCCAGTTCTGAAGGCTTTTCTGCTGAGGCCAGCAGCTACTTCCCAATTTTTGAACCTCTTGGATATGTCAGGGTGAGTGGCTTCCACGCGCCAGTTTGCAAGCTTGGAGACATATTGAAATGTCTTCACAAGCTTGTCTATGCCATCTCTTTTTGCTAAGAAGATTACCAATTTGTCCACTGTGTCAGTCATGGTGTGGAAGGATTAGTTTAGGAATATGGCTTTGGTTCATGTAGGATATCCTCTCATTGTGTTTATTTCAAAGTTCTAAGTACCAAACAATATTTTTATGTGTTAAACTAGAGTCACAAGAACTGGTTTTTGGATAAGAGAGGTTTGTGGTTACACTTTATTTTACTTATACGACCAATCAATTTTTATTTATTAATTTTTTGTCATTTGGAATTTCGTGCATCTTTAAAATTAAGACACTTTCTTTTCTTATGCTTCTAGCTATACGTATTATTCACTTGGTTAAGCTTTTGTTTTAATGACAAAATATACATATAAATATAAATAAATATTATAATGATACATAGTTAAGCAAACAATTTCCAAGTGTATCCTTTTAGTATTAATGACACTCTTTACATTTGTTCACATATTCAGTATTGTCTTTCAATATATTTAGAGAGTAATAATTGTTGGAAAAACTTTTAATTTTAAAGTTAATCGAATTAATTTTTATGAACAAGAATTAATCTTTTTGATTGGTCATGCCTTTTATTCTTTACCATTTACTCAGGTGAAACAATCACTTTTAATTGTAAGATGATTCTACACTACACAGATAATTGAAAGATAAAAACGAGACAATTAAAATGAGAGAAAAAGAGAAATTCTGGAGAAAGATGAAGATTGTAGTGTTGTGCAAACTGCACTCAAAGTGTTTGTTACAATGTGTGTTAATCACATCTGTGATTTCTGAAAACTACATAATGCTACTACAAAACTTCTTGCAAATGAAATAGAGTTCCTCTCTATTTATAATGTGATTTCTTGCACTCCAAGTAATCACAAAATAACTAACTCAACTAAAACTAAGCTAAGTTAGTCAACTTTCCATTCGTTACTTGCTCTCTCAGTTAATGAAATCTCATTTTGATGTGTTTGCTTCTTCTGTGTGTTATCGGATTCTTTGCTAAGTTGATAGTCGACATGTTGTCGATATTCATAGTTATTGCTCCATGAATCTTCGTTGTAATTTCTTCGACTAGATTTATCATTCATGTTGCTTGGCATGCACATAGCGAAGCTGCTATATATTATGCCTCACATGATGATAAAGCTACCACTGGTTCCTTTCTCGAACTCCATGCGACTGACGCACCACCTAACATAAACACATATTTCGTTGTCGATTTTCTATCTTCAACATCAGTAAACCAACTAGAGCCAGTGTATCCCACATTCTTTTCCTTCATCGACTTAAGGAAACAAAATACCATAGTCGATCATTCCTTTGAGATAACTTAGTATCCTTTTGGTGGCTACAAGATGGGATACCTTCGGCTTCTGCATGAATCTACTAACCATGTCTACACAATAGGCTAAATATAACCTTGTGTGACAGAGGTATCTAAATGATCCAATGAGTCTTTTATACTGTGTTAGGTTGACATCATCTTCAGTCGAGTATTTTATCAGTTGTAATTCGGGTTCAGATGGAATCGAAGTTGGGTTGCAATCTTGCATCTCAAATCTCCTGAGTATTTCACCTTTTGGATTCAACTTGAATTTGTATACCCATTTCACATCAATTGCCTTTTTCCCTTTTGAAAAATTGACTAGTGTCTGGGTATCATTGTCTTTTATGGATTTTATATCATCCACCATAGCTTTCATCCACCTGGAGTCTTTCAATGCTTCAGCTGCATCTACTGGCTCTATATCTGCATAGAAAGCATAATGTACTAACTCACCTTCATCATCGACCACATCATCTAATGTGATTACAATTCTTGTAGTCTTGCAGGCATATTTCTTGTTCTCTGTGGTCGGCTTGTGCTAGCTTGACCTTTGACGAATTCTTGTCGAACTTCTCTAAAAGCTTCAATAGTTGTTTCATCACACATGATTCTCCCTGAATCCTTCTTGATATTCCCAGTCCAATCCCACTCCTTAATCTCATCTACGGTCACATCCCTATTAATCACAACTTGCTTGTTCATTGGGCCAAACAATTTCTATCCACCAGTTGAGTGATATCCCACAAGGATCATTTGACTTGACTTATCTTTTAGCTAATCTGGCACGTGTCTATGTGCTATGGATCCAAACACCTTCAGGTAGCTTAAACTAGGTTTCACACCAGAACAACATTCTTCTGGTGTGATACCTTCAAGCCTCTTTGTCGGACATCTTTTAATATGTATGTTGCAGTCGACACACCCTCACCCCATAACTCATTTGGGAGATGCTTGCATTTTAACATATTTCTCACTATATTCATATTGGTTATGTTCTTTCATTCAACAGTACCATTTTGTTGAGAAGTGTATGGTGACACCACCTCATGTACAATTTCTTATTTTGTACATAGCGTGTCAAAATCGTTTGACACGTACTCTCCACTTCCATCTATCCTCAGAGTCTTAATCTTATGACCATTATATTATGTCTTTCCAACATTGCTTTGAATTTGGTGAAAACATCGATCGCATCACTTTTTTCTCGATTAAGTTGGTCCACAAATTTCTGCTCTATCATCAATAAATGTAACAAAGTATTTCTTACCTCTAAGTAAATCTACCTGGAGAGGACCACACATATCTGAGTAGATTATCTCGAGAATGGATTTCGAATTGCTTCTTGTATCCTTGCTGAAGATATTCTTGTGTTGCTTTGCTTGAAGACATTCTTCACATACTTCTAGAATGTGGATTTCTGGTAGGCCTAAAACCATGTTCTTCCTCTTCAGATTACTAATGTCATTAAAATTCAAGTGGCCAACTTTGTAATGCAATAACCATTCATCTCTGCTAGTTGTAGTCACATGGAACTTGTATTCTAACACATCAAGTTTAATCCTGAAGGTTCTATTCTGAGACATATGAGCCTTCAAGATTAACCTGTTACTCAAGTCGATCACTCTCATCATTCTATCTCCAATAAATACTTTGCAATTCCTCTCGAACAATTGTCATATACTTAGCAGATTACTCTTCATGCTACGTATGTACAACACATTGAAAATTACTGATTGTTTACCATTCTTTCTCCTGATCAGAACATCAATAATACCTTCAACAGATAGGGTATTATCATTTGCAAATTTTACCTTGTCTTTAAATAAGGGACTAATGTTGATAAACCAATCTCTTCTTCCAGTCATGTATGATGAACAACCTAAGTCGAGATATAATTGATCTTTGAATCTTTCTTCTTTTTTTTTTTGTGACCATTAACATCACTTCATATTCTTCTGCAAGCTTTTCATCACTTTCTTGATCTTTCTTGCCTCCTCAACATTGACTTGCATAATGGCCATACTTTTGACAATTGTAACATTGAATATGACTTTTATCAAGTTTTCTTCCATCGCATATTCTCTACCTGCACCATCACCTCTGTGATTGCCTTGGTTAAAAGATTGTTTCTGATTTGATGAACTACTTTCTTGAGAGTTTCCTCCTCCTTTGCCTCCATTCCATTTTCCTTTGTCTTTATTTTCTTTAGTCGTCTTAGCCTATAAAGCCACATCAGTCTATGACTTGCTTGCAGTTCTTTTAGCCATTATTTGTTCATGAGATTCAAGCGTCCCTTGAAGTTCTTGTTTTGTCATACTTGATAAATCCTTAAATTCTTTTATGGAAACTACCACATGATCAAACTTTGGATGTAATGACCTCAAAATCTTTGACACTATATATTTTGATGTCAACACTTCTCCACATGTTTTAATTCTATTCATCAATTTCATTACTCCGATGCTGAAATTAGTCACATTTTCATTCTCTTCCATCTAAATCAATTCATACATTCTTTTGTGAGTTTGTAACCCCACCTCTTTCACTTTCTCAATGTCTGGATGTCCTATGTTTCCTTCCCTAAATCTACATTGCCTGCCTTCTCGAAAATATCTGCACTAACACATTGGTGGATCATAAAGAGTGGTTTTATAATCTTTCTTCTTTAGCTCTTTATATGCATCCCTCTCTTCATCTGTTGCGTTATCATTGATTGATGTTACACCATTCTTGATGAGATCCCAGACTTCTAGGTAACAAAACACCCCCTTCATCTCCTTGAACCAATGTTTGTAGTTCTTGCTATTCTTAATGTGGAGATTCGTCGAAAAATGCCCATTCAGATTATTCGTCATGATTCAATGCATCCCAAAGATCACACAACTACTACTCTAGATACTAGATGTTGGAAAAACTCCAATCTTGAAGTTAACTGAATCAATCTTGATGAACAAGGATCAATCTTTCTGATTGATCACGCCTCTTTTTCTTCACCCTTTACTCAGGTAAAACAACCACTCCTTGATTGTAAGATAATTATACACTACACAGAGAATTGAAAGATGAAAATGAGACAATTGAAATGAGAGAAAAAGATAATTTTTTTAGGAAGAGGAAGAATATTGTATTTTTGGTGCATACAACGCTCAAAGTGTTTGTTACAATGTGTGTTAATCACAATTGCGATTTCTCAAAACTACACAATGCTACTACAAAAATTATTGCAAATTAAATAGAGTTACTCTATATTTATAATGTGATTTCTTACACTCCTAGTAATCACAAAATAACTACTCAACTAAAACTAAGCTAAGTTATTCAGCTTCGACTTTGTTTAGGTTAACTCCTTCGGCCAAAATAAAACACCCTTCGACACCCGTCGAATCCTATAGGGTTGACACAAGGAATTACATATTTAAATTTAATCAAATCTTACTTTGTTATGTAAATTTCTTCCTCCGATGTGATTCTTATAGAACCTTTGTGTACCTCCATTAGCATTAGAGCAATTTCACTCTCGCTCTGGCATGTTAGTGTTTGTGTAACTCTTGTCATCTTGTATATGTAATACCCTAATTTTTATCCCTAAGTTCCCATATATCATTTTCATCTCATCTCATAAACAAGATAGCAAGCTTTGGTTCTCTTGCCTTCCCATGCAGGTTTGTTCTTGAGAGATCGTCGGGCACCCTTTATTTTCTTGTTTGTTTGATATTTGTTTAT